GAACTAAACAAAGGAAACAAAACAAAAACAGAAGAAAAAACAACCAAAACAAAACAAACAAAAAGAAATCTCATTATGGAAGCTGTAGTGTGGCCTGTTGAGCCACACAATTTACCCTTAGTCTTCACCTGCAAGTGTTCCTTGCCATGGGTCATTGGTCTCTTTTGAGGCTTCTGGCTTCTGCTACACCATTGATAATGGACTCTCACTGGAGCTTCTCTTGGATATCTGGTTGTTATTCTATGTCATGGGGATCCTACAGTTTTGTATCTGTTGGTTTGTCCCCATCACCTGTTGCAACAGTTCATTGATGAGGTGGATGTTGGGGTGAGCCAACCAGTTGGGGTCAGTCCACCAGCTTTCCCCAACTGTCACCACCTGGGTGAACTCTCCAGCACAGCCTCAGTCAGCTCACCCAGCACAGCCTGCAGCAAGGATCGAGGCCAGTTCTCTCGCTCCCAGGCCCTCGGGTCTGTGTTCTCCACACTCACACCACCAGCACCAGCTCCACTGTCTTACCCAGGCAAGATGCAGCCCCCCCCCCCAGTATTGTTGTAAGGGGGAGCATGGGGAGGGGAGTCATCTCTCCTACTCTCATGCCCTCCGGGATGGCTCACCTGCATCCCTCCACAACAGGCAGGGTACAGGGTCCACTCTTCTGTATGTTAAAGCTGGTGATGAGGAGGGATAGTTCTCCCACTCTTCATGACCCTGGGGCCAGATCTATCACCTGATGCAGGTAGCAAGGGGTGGGAGAAGAAGGGCATCTTATCCTCACCCATGCTACCTCACTGCAGACAGAGGAAAGGGGGCATTCCGTTCTGCCCTTCTCACACCCTCAGGGACAGCTTACCTGGGTCTCCGACAACAGGGTCTGCTCTAGTGCGTTGCCCAGGTGAGATGCACACCTATGGTGAGAGGTGAGGGCATTTTCCTATTGCAGAGGGTGGGGCAGCTCTCCTGCTGCAGTATCCAGCAAGGGGCAGGTCAGCTATCCCAGGGCCACTGAGGGGCAGGGCCAGCTTAGCATGGCCTTCAGATTTCAACAAACTTGGTTCCTGTGACCGCCCCCCCCGCCCCCACTATGGTAACAGAGGCCATGGACATCAACACAGACCCCAGCCACAGCAGGATCACAGACCCAGGCATGGCCCATGGCAGCAGCTGGGGCCTGGGCATCACCATGGCTTTGGTGGCAGCACAGGCTACCCAGATCAGTATGGCCCTCAGACACCAGCACAGTCTCAGGTGGCTGACCAGACCCTGGGCATCCTCAGAGTCCTCAGCAGTAAAGGGGGTCATGGACATCAACTCAGACCCTCGGGTTGCAAGGGTCTTTACTCACTGAGCCTACCAGCTGGTTCCTCTTATAGCACTCCTTTCTAATCCACCTATTTCAGTGTATTGGTTGAATGTAAAACTTGCATCAAGCCAGCTCAGACAGTGTTTAAACCTGAGTTTGGAGGCCTTGATTTTTTAAATTTCATCTTAGATGGGCTAGAGAATGTTATATTAAGAAATCCTTTAATCCAGCCAGAGGATCTGCTCCTCCCCCTACCTTTGGAAGCAATATTTTTATCCTTTTGTCTTACTTCTCCCTCTCTTCCTCTTTCTCTTTCTCTGTTTCCCTAAAAAAAAAAAATCCACTGTTCCTTTAGAGTTCTTTCTACTTAGGTGATACTCCTGTCATGGTTTATATTTTCTCAATCTCCTCATGCACCTATCTTTGAATGCTTGGTCCCAAATTAGTGGAACTAATTGTGTAAAATTGGGAGCTATGCCCTTGCGGGAGTGAGTTAGTCTTGTTTATTAATGTTTGGCACTGTAGGTGGGCCTTGAGGTTTCAAAAGCCCAGTGAATGGCAAGTGTTTCCTTCTGGGCACCTGCCTGGGTATCCGGATGTAACTCTCAGCCCCGTGCCTGCCTGTCGGGATGTATCCTTTCAAGATGATAACGGATTAACCCTCTCTCACTCTAATCAATCCTCACATTAAAAGTGTTCCATTACAGGACTTGCCTTGGTCATAGTGCTTCTTCATAGCAATAAAACCGTCCCTAATATTTTTGCATATTATTTCTCTGCATTTGGTCTGCTTCCTGTGTAGTTGAATAAGAATAAATGAAAGAGTGATGGACTTACAAAATATTCAGTCTCTGGCATGATTATTACTGAAGGTTAATGCAGATCCATAGAGAAAAATAGCCACAATAGGGGCAGAAATTAACAAAACCTGTTTATTTGGAAAGAAAAACAACATTAGGTAGATTTGGACTGCAGTCCTGTGCTGAAACATAGTCAGTAATTATCAGGGAGATTAAGGCCATTAAGGAGAAGTTTCCTACTTTTCTTTGGAAATACAGAAGAGGTATTGTAAGGGCACTATACCACCCAGCAAAGTGTTTAAATATGAAAGGAAAAGTCAAAGTGATTCCTAGTCCCCGGAGGCTACTTTATACAAAACTTTCTGCTGCTCTATACTGGGGCCAAGTCAGTTCCAAGCTAGAACACCATTGGTGGTATCATCTGTGTGGTACTTTTTTAAAAGAAGAAAGATGCAAAATTTAAAGGTCATGAAGTCTTCCTCTATGGTTCAGCACTGTTGTAGCCATCTGTTTGGCAGAGCCATTGATTCACTGGTGAGACCGTCAGACTGCACTGCATAAAGCCATGAAAATGAAGCATGGGTTGCATTTTGAGGTCACAGTATGTTGAGATACCCAAGCTTTGAGATTATTGACATGAAAAGCTGAATGTAGGAAGTGGAAGTCGGCAACAACAGAGATGTATGAAAAGTTTCAGTGAGAAAGAGCCAGCTACGCCCTTTGAAACTGAAGCTTCGAGTGTCTGACACAGAGCTGCAGGGTTTGGTGTTTGCCTTGCAGGTTTCAGGCTTGACTTGGTCCAAATTTGGCTAATTTCTGTGAAATGGAAATTTGTATTCTGTGCCATTGTGTGTTGGGAGTATATACTTTGTGTTTTCATTTTACAAAATAATACAGTCAAGAGATTGCCTTGAGTATCAGAAGAAACTTTAGACATTGAAACAGTGCTGGGACTGTTTTATAATATGGAGATCTTTGAAATTAGAATAAATGCATTTGCATTATGGGTTGACTGTGGTACTATCATGACCTGTGTCAAAATGTGGGTTGAATGAAAAAAAAATCTCCCAGAAATGATAATGTATTTGAGCATTTGTTTCTGGTTTGTGGCCTTCACTGGGGTGCTAATGGAACCCTTTGGAGGAGGAGCATTTCTGGAGGAAGTTGGTACCTGGGAAAGGACGTTGAATGTTTATACCTTCAACATACTTGTTTGTGTGTTTGAAACTGATCAGTCCCTTCCCTTCTCATATAGCCATGTCATCACCACTATCAGAGACACCATCCCTAAATAATGTAAGGTAAAATAGAAACCATTGCTTTTCCTTGGTAATCCATTTTTCTGACCTGATATTTTTGTGTTTATATTTTTGGCTGATTGAATTGGATTTTTATTCATGTCAAGCATTTGCTCTTGTGCTAAGCCTTACCTTCATCATGTCTTCTGAACTTTGATAGAGGGTATTGTTAGTTATTTTGCGGTGATCTTACTCTGCGAGGAAATGTCACGAAACACAACAGAATCCGCTAATAAGAGTTTTATTAAGATGAAAGGGACAGAGAGTGCCCAGGCCTGTGGAAGACATGTGTGTAGAGGAGAAGAAGGAGCCGGGAATATGGTGCCGGCTTATAAAGGCTGGGTGGCGTAGGTGCATACACAGGTCGACGTAACTACTCCATGCATGTACGTAGATCACATGGCTACGTTGTGCACTTACATAACCATGCAAACTCACGGATCCTGGTCACGCAAGACACCTTGACCCAGAAATGGCTATTTTGACCTGGAATTGGCTAGGCGGAAGTGTCCAGGTCCACCAGGCATATGCAAACACAGCCAACCGTGGGGGCATGTTGTGAACCCATCAGGTATCATTTTTCAAACCAAGATGGCATACATTCATGACGTTACTATTGATCTCCTGAATCACTGGATTGCAGGCATGTCACATTCTTCCTATGTTTGTGTATATGTTTTTGCTTTATTTAAAATTTTTGTAATATGTGTATGAATCTTTTGCCAATATATATGGAGTACACCACCTCTGTGCCTGCCATTTATTGAAATTAGTTGAGAGCATTGGATTCTTTTGAACTAGAGGTTTGAATGGTTGTGAGTCTCCAAGTGAGTGCTGATGATTGATTTAGGTCCTTTTCAAAAGCAACAGGTTTTCTTACCTGTTGGCCCATCTTTATAGACCTCATTGTTGTTGTTGCTGTTTTATTGTTTTACGATCAGCATTTACTTTACTGATGTTTTTGAGAACTCTTTGATCTGTCAGTCAGTAACTTCTTAAAAAAGCATTCTTTTGTAGGAATGTCATATTAGTCTTAGAGTTTAAATGGGGTCACTCCAGTTTTTTGATAGAAAATACAGAATTGGAGTGAATGTTTACCTTTTAGGAGGAATTTTGAGCAAGCCCCTGAGTGCTATCTATTTTTTGTTTGTTTTTGTGTTTGTGTGTTTGTTTGTTTGAGACAGGGTCTCACTATGTATACTTGGCTGTCCTGGAAATCACAGAGGTTCACCTGTCTCTTCTCCTGAGAAGCTTTGCAGCACCATACCCATATTGTCCATTATTTTTTGGAGTTAATAATTTTGATACAATCTTGTTTATCTACTCAATAGTGTTGCTCTGTTTGTATGTCTCTCTGTATAGGTTAATAGGCATTTCTCCTTCAATGACATATTCTGTTCAATTGGCATAGAAATGGAAGGTGTTATCCTACATTTATGTTTCCTTATAAAATGAGTTGATGACTGTATTTGAAATTCTGTGACATGGAATTAATATAATGACCATGCAGAATTATGGAAATATATTCTCAATGAAGTGTACATTTGCAATTCAGTCAGTCTCACCATTTCAATTATGAACATATATGGGACATTTTAGGATGCAGTGACCTATGAGGATGTGCATGTTAACTTCACTCCTGAAGAGTGGGCTTTGCTGGATTCTTCCCAAAAGAGTCTATACAAAGAAGTGATGCTGGAAACCTACCGGAACCTCACTTCTATAGGTAAGAATGTGAATTTTCCTTCACTTTTAAACTTAAGGTGCCAAGCCATTTTTGGAGACATGTTCTTCTGTGATTTTGACTGTGTAAGAGGAAGAATATATTAAATGAATCAGGCAATGTTCTAAGGTTCACTGAAAATATTAATTTCAATTTTGCACAATTTCCAGTAATATACATTTTCTGGCACTGTATTTTAGGTTACAAATGGGAAGACCTCAATATTGAAGAACATTGTCAAAGTTCTAGAAGACTTAAAAGGTAAATTTCATTTGCAAACTGATACATGTGAACCTCTGATGAAATTTTACTGTGCCCTGAAGTTTTAATGAAAAGTAGCAGTGTAAATAAGCACATATTTGTGATGATTATTAAATTCTCACAACAGCATATACCTCAGTGTCAGGTAGCTGATCAATGTTTACAAAATATTCCTTTAAGAAACAAGACAAGGAATCAACACTTTAACAGATGACACAGTTTTAATCATGGCCCCATGAGAACCATTTTGTAGAACTGCCCATCCACTTACTTTCACACGATTAAAGTATTGTAAAAGTCACACACATTGATTAGGGATTTAGTATATGTCCAAGACCTTTTCTAAGCAAATCGTCCATATTAAACCTATTGTTACTGATATACTTGTAGTGACTTACCATAGTTTATTGAGAGGGGCAGTTTGTGAGAGTCTAAAAGGTTGTTGTCAGAGAGCCCTCAATCCCTATACCACATTTCTATGAATAACAAAAAGGTTCAGCTGTGTGAGTGCAATGTGAAAATCTTCTATATATTATTCTCCCTTTAATAGGTATATCATCGGTCACTCTAGATACAAGCCATGTGATCGTGAGGGATATGGAAAGAAACAATGTCCATCTGTCTCTACCAAAACAATTAGAAGGTGTGTAACAGTCCCCACTATAAGAAGACAAGGTGAATGTGAGACAGGTTTGCAATTAACTGGTTTTCCAACTGGTTCATTTTATACACGTAGTATGATTCTCAGTAAAAGAAAATGTTATAAACGCAATAAGTATGGTAAAACTCTGAGTTCTTCCAGTTCTTTTAAAAGACATGAAAATACTCATATGGGAAAAGGAAGTGATAAATTTGGGCTACGTATGAAAGGCTTTAACCATCACAGGCATCTTCAAACACACAAAACAACCAATAATGAAGGGGATCGTAATGAATGTGATAAAGCCTTCAGATCTGATTCGTCTTTACAATTACAACAAAGAACTCATTTGCAAACAAAATCCCATGAATCTAATGAAAGGGATAAAGACTCTGTATCTCATAGTCCTCATCAAATATCCAGAACTCATTCTAAAGAGAAAAGACATGGACATCATCAACATGGTAAAGCCCGTCCTGGCCATCTTCAAAGAGATGAAAGAGTTCATACTGGAGAGAAACCCTTTGAATGTAATCAATGTGGTAAAGCCTATGCATATAAAAGTCATCTTCACAGGCATAAAAGAAGTCATTCAGGAGAGAAACCATATCGATGTAAACAATGTGGTAAAGCCTTTGCACGTAACTGTCATCTTCAAATGCATGAACGAACTCATACAGGAGAGAAACCATATCGATGTAAGCAATGTGGTAAAGCCTTTGCACGTAACTGTCATCTTCAAATGCATGAACGAACTCATACGGGAGAGAAACCATATCGATGTAAGCAATGTGGTAAAACCTTTACACGTAACAGTCATCTTCACAGGCATGAAAGAGGTCATACTGGAGAGAAACCATATCGATGTAAGCAATGTGGTAAAGCCTTTGGACGTAACAGTAATTGTCAAAGCCATGAAAGAAATCATGCTAAAGAGAAACCTTATGAGTGTAATCAATGTGATAAAGCCATTGGACAGAACAGTCATTTTCATAGTCATGAAAAAAGTCTTACTGGACAAAATTCCCATGAATCTAATCAGTGTGATAAAGCCTTTGCAAAGAACAATCATCTTTTAAGTCATGAAGTAAATATTTCTGAAGAGAAACCCTATGGATGTAGTCAATGTGGTAAAGCTTTTGGACGTAGCAGTAATCTTCAAAGGCATGAAAGAAGTCATACTGGAGAGAAACCTTATAAATGTAAACAATGTGGTAAAGCCTTTGCACAGAACAGTCATCTTCACAGGCATGAAATAAGTCACACTGGAGAGAAACCCTATGAATGTAAAAAATGTTGTAAATCATTTACACGAAAAAGTGATCTTCACAGGCATGAAAGAGGGCATACTAGAGAGAAACCCAATTAATGTAATTAATGTGGTAAAGCCTTTGCATGTAAAAGTAATCTTCAAATGCATGACAGAAGTCATACTGTAGAGAAACCCAATGGATGGAAACAATGTGGTAGAGACTTTGCATGTTGCAGCAACTTAGAAAGCATGACAGAATTTACAATTGTGAAAAACCCCATGATGCTAATAAATGAGGTAAAGTCTTACACTCCACATATATTTTCCCCACTGAGCTATCATACTGGTCCTTGATTAAGATTAGTAGAAGCACAACATCTTAAAATATTGTCTCTTTTTCAAATTATAAACATAGTGTCATCCAAGAATATAGGAATGTAGGACAGTTTAAATAATAAGACCTATTTACAAATGAAAATGGTATTCATGTTTTCATCCTTTTTTTATGGTAATTTATTCTGAGGACTAAAATACTTGTTCCTAACACTTTCTCAGAAACACAAATGAATGGCAGAGAATTGTCTCAGTGGCTAAAGGTAGTTACTGCTAAGCTTGATTTCATTCTCTGGGAAAACAATATTCCTCATAGAAGTTTTTTTTTTTTAATACTACACTTGGATTATGGCATACATCTACACCAGCACATGCATAAAAAATGTTTGATAATGCAATGATTAGGACACCAGCTTAGGAGACTAGCTTGGTATGATCTCTAGTACTCACACAGAAGAACTAGAGAACAAACATCTGTAAATTGTGCTCTGACTGGTAATATGCACATCATGACACAAGTATATACACACAGTTAAAATTTTTTAAATAGATAAAATTAAAGAAGAAAAAACTCAACCAAAATGTTGAGAACATAGTTGAAGTTAATACATTGCAAAAATTTTAAGAAGTATTATTGCTCATGAAAATAATGATGGTTCCTATTTAACTCTTATCCTTTCATTGGCTGATTCAAAGATGGATAATATTTAAAACATCTCTCTGCTGGGCAGAGTGGTGCACACTTGTAATCCAGTTCTTGGGAGACAGAGGCAGGTGGATTTCTCTGAGTTTGAGGGTGGCCTTGTCCACATAGTGAGTTTCAGGATGCCTATATCTATGTAGAGACACCCTTTCTCAAAAACTAAAAAGGGGGTCTAGAAAGATGGCTTAGTGGTTAAGGGCACTGGTTGCTCTTCCAGAGGTCCCAGGTTCAATTCCTATAACTCATGGAAGCTCACAACTGTAACTCCAGTTCCAATGATCAACGCCCTCACAGAGACACAAATGTAGGCAAAACATCTTTGCACATGAAAAAAAAGTGATCAACTTTAAAAACCATATATCACATTATTAAAGTTTCTCTAACATAATGTGGACTCTACTAAATTATTCCTTGTGTTAACAATGACAATGAGAAGCAATGTATAGAGTCCATTCACAGAGGTATAGAAATCCATTCAATTCTTCATTCACCTTGTAGCAGGGACTTCCATCATGCTAGTAATAAAAGACAGAAGGAGTAATGGGGCATCTTCAATTTTTGCATTATACTAGCATCTTTGGGAGCTGTAGATTTGAGTCAGTAGTACAGCTGTCATTCAGTACCTAAGTTTAGTTCCTAGTACCCACTTCAGTGGTGCAAAAATACCTGTAAATCTTAGTCTAGGATGTTTGATGTACTTTTCTGTCTTCTTGGAACCAGATATGCTAATGATGTAAATGTGTATATACATTATATATTTATATAAAATCATGTATATGTGTATGTATGTATTTATATGTTTGTATGTGTTGCAACTCCATATTTAAAAAAAGGATTTTTTCGTGTATGTGTTATTTTTTAATTAAAATAAAATTAATTTTTGTGTGCATTGTCAGAATATTGTCCTGGAATGGAGTCATATGAGGAGAATTTTGAATACTTGGACATGCCAAGCAATGAAATCAAGAGTCATGTGACCTCAGTTTCTTCAAAACACAGAATTATTCTTGGAATGTGGTTTTGTGCCCCTCCTAATATAGCAAAAAGAAGTGAGAGGTTACTTCATATTACTTTTTTTTTTTTAACAATCTATTTTCGAGACAGGGTTTCTCTGTGTAGCTTTGTGCCTTTCCTGGGACTCACTTGGTAGCCAAGGCTGGCCTTGAACTCACAATGGCTCTGCCTCCCAAGTGCTGGGATTAAAGGCGTGCGCCACCACCACCCGGCTCATATTACTTCTTATTGCTTGCTGTTTTTATTCCTTTAAATGTTAAGCTAGCCTTTGTATGGCTGTATGGAACATTTTTTTCTCCCATGTGGCTTGTTTTTGTGATTGTATACAGCTTGAACTCATGAGAACTTTACTTTTGTGACTTTACTTAACTCATAGAGTATAAATTATCTGGAGCTCTCAAAGAACTGGCTATTGCATGAGACTTTAGTCTGACTCAATATGAATCAATATAAACTTTATGATCACACTTTTGAGTTCATCAAAGAGGAAAAAAAGGCAATTTTTCCTTTTCAGGCAAAGTTGAAAGTAAAAATGGAATCACCAACATCTATGTAGGTTATAGCTTCATCACCTTTCTTATTGAAACCTCCTTTAGATACATATCCTCCATTTTCTGAAAAAGACCATGAAGCATTGGGTGAGTAATTTGCTAATCAACCTAATTTTGAATTATATTTGGATGAGGTATTAGGAGAGCCTATTCTAAGTGCCCACACTTACTTATCTGGCCAAGATTCCCTAATATGACTATGAGGAATCAAATCATGTTGGTTGGAGTGGTCACAGCAAGACTGAGGCTGTGACAATTTTATTGACATTCAGATTTTTTATAATTTTATCAGAAACAGAATATAATGACAATGGCCAGCACCAGTACAGTTGTAGTTTGCAGGATACAATTACATTTGCAAGATATACAGGATAAATAAGATTAATGTCTAAGACCAATTGTCCTGTCCAGCTTCCATGTTTCCTTGACTTCTGGGGGGACATATGGAGAAACACAAAGCAGCTTGAATGCTTCACTGCCTGAGGGAGTGTGTCTGTCTCTCAGGAAATGGAAGGCACATTGTGCCCTAGAAGCCAATATTTTGAAAAAAAAACAAAACAAAAACAAAAACAAAACAACAACTATGACTCAAGGCAGCTAGGTCAGGCCAAGTTCATGATTCTGCCACAGCCTGTGAAAAAGCTAACTTCCTGGGCCCTGTTATTTATGCCCATGTCATGAGACTCCCAGAGACCACTAGGAGTCTGAGTTCATATGTAAAAGCAAAGAGCCTTTATCGCAAGCTTGCGCTTGTGCCATCTGTCCCTTCTGACATAGCAGTTGGATGGGGAGAACATCCAGCTCATTTGAGGCAGAGGTTTTAAAGAATAAAGGATGGGGGGGGGGGAGTAGAACAATTCCAGATTCAAATGGGGGTTGAAATCCTGATTGGTCAGGAGTGGGACAACAAAAGTCTTGTCAAATAGGGATTGGTACTAGTGTTGCTATAAGTAAAATGGCAACCTATATACAGGTTATGTAAGCTATCCTTAATGTTCTAGAACATTTAGTACTTGTTTGTCTCAGTTCTGATGGGTCCCCCATAGGGTACAGTTTTTGGCTTTTCCTGATTAGTGTAATGAAAATAACTATGTTATATTTGTTTCTTAAAAGTCAATGTCTAGTACCTTGTAACCACAAATGGCAACCATCTAAAATATTTTAGCTAGTATAAAAAGACTTTTTCACTTGGTAACCTCAGTGGCCAGCTGTTTCCTTCCCAACCTTCCCAGAGGGGTGGTGCTCTTTCAATATAGAATTGATACCCTGTAACTTATCTGTTCCCTGGACACTGGAAGGAGAAGGTGGATAGAAGACTTTGATAACATTGTGATGTAATCTTGAAAGTTCTTGGGAATCCATTGTGTAAAGCCCATGCTTTTCATACCTTGCTGCACATAATAGTTTCATTGTTAGAAGGATAAATAAAAGAGGTCCTCTCTTAGACAAATAAAGAGTGTGTAATCAACACATTCCTATGTGTGTCTCCATTCTTCCTGCACTGACTCCATACCTTCTCCTTTGGACCTGAACCCTGCTGGAGCTGGACTTCATCAGGTGGTACTAGAATGGAAACATAAAAGATGTAAGTAAGCCCACCTTTTGGTGGTTTGGGTAGGACTTCACCCATGGGCACAGCAGATCCCCTGGTAGAGAATAGACCAGATAAAGAGGATGAATAGCCAGAACATTAGAGAAGTTAAAAAAGGATTTGCACAAGATGGGGCAGAATGAGCCTAAAGAGAGAAGGCTCTTTATAGATATTGTGCAACACACCCTAAAGAAAGAGAGCACAAAAGTTAACACATCTCAACTTTTAGCTTTTTTTGCTATTTGTGCTATAGTGTAGTTGCTGGTTTCTAGAACAAGAGACTTTGGACTTGAAAATATGGGATATAGTGGAGACTGACATTCAGACCTGGTATATAGAGAAAGGAGAAGAGATGCCTGCCTCTAACTTTTCTTTATGGAATGCCTTGTATCAGGCATTAGACACTAGTGGTGAACCACTGGGGAAGACTATTTCCTCTGCCCCTCTTCTGTCACATGAAGGGACCCCTTTGCTACAAAAGGAATCCACCTGTGGTTCAAAGGTAAGTTTGACACATGAGCCATCTGATGACAAAAAGGGAGATGATATCTTGCTCCCTGATGAAGAAGTAGATCTTGGGGAGGTGGCTACTAAGTATCATAATTATGACTGGCACCCTCCTCCACTGACCTCAAAGGCTGAAGGACCTTGAAAGGTACACTACCCCTGGTAGTCCCTCCACCCCACCCCACCTCAGTAGGTTTTAGAGGAGCTCATAAGAAAATCTGACCACTTGGAGAAGATCTTACATGATTCTCTGTTATGTTTGGTGAGGAAGGGGAAGACAAGCCCCTCTGGTAACCTCTACCTTATAAATTACTTAAGGAGCTGAAACAAGCAATAGTTGATTATGAGCTTGCCTCTCTCTACACATTAGTTTTAATGGAAAGTTTAACTAATAGGTAAAGGACACCTTATGACTGGTTTCAAGTGGCCAGAGCCTGTCTCTTGAGAAAAAATTTCCTCCTATAGATGATAGACTATGAAGAGGTTGCTTAAAAAGAGGTAATAGAAAAACAGCAAAAAAAAAGTAAAAAATGAATGACTTATGATATGCTTGTAGGATTGGGGTACTTGGGAGGTGCAGCAGAACAATTAAGATTACATAAAGGTGTACTTTCTGCAAGTTGAGGAATTGCTGTGGTCTTGAAAGCATATCCTTCAGACATCAAAGCCACAGGGCTGGTCAATGCTAGACAGAAGCCTGTTGAGCCATATGAAGAATTTCTTGCTAGGTTGTCTGAGGCTATAGGGTATATGGTTTGTACTCCTGAGTCAGCACAGCTAATTATCAAATAACTGGATTTTGAAAATGCAAATACACCAGTAAAGCACTTTTGTGTCCCAAAAGAAAATTAGAGGACCTTAGTGACTTTATCAAGGCATGTGGGGAAGTGACCCCTTTCTACTTATAGGGAGTGGCAATTGTGGCAGCCTTACAGGGTCAGACAACTACCCAGTTCCTAAAGAATCAGAAGTGGAGACAACTCTTCCCAAAGTGGAGCTTGTTTTACATGTGGTCAACTTGGGCATTTTAGTTGAGTTTGTACCAATGGAAGATTAAAAAAGCCTGCAGGGGCAATTGATTGGGAACCAGCCTAACTGTCAGGACCATGGACTTCATGCCCTTGATGTCAAAAACGATTTCACTAGCAGAAAGACTATAGGTATAAATTTCATAAAAACAGCACTCTTCTGCCTCTGCCCAACTCTCCTACTCCTACATTCAATAATATTCTTGCTTCTGTGCCTCAGCCATTTTCAATGTCAGGAAGCTGGGTGCAGGACCATCCCTTGACCCCTCAAATAATGGGGGTCTTCTAAGTACCAAGCAAGAATCCCTTCATAGACCTAGGTCAATCCACCAACTCCACAGGGCCACCCAAGGCAGTATACAAGTAGACCTCTCATCCAACTCCATAATAATATTTTTTTTAAAGATTTATTTATTATGTATACAGCACATATGACTGCAGGCCAGAAGAGGGCACCAGATCTTGTTACAGATGGTTGTGAGCTACCATGTGGTTGCTGGGAATTGAACCCAGGACCTCTGGAAGAGCAGCTAGTGCTCCTAACCTTTGAGCCATTTCTCCAGCCCCCCTCCGCCTCTATAACAATATTAGCTTCTGATTCTCCTGTAGTGTGTCTGCCTACTGGAGTGTTTGGCCTCTAAACTTCACGAACTATAGTACTAATATTAGACAAAAGTTCCATCTCTCTCCAGGGGATCAATATTGTCCCTGAATTATAGATTTAGATTTCACAGGTCAGATTAAGATTGTTATACAACCTCCCACAAAAACTATTCATATTCATGCAGGTTAATTTATAGCTCAACTATTTTTATTGCCTAATTTATCAATGGGACAATCCATATCACTTAATGAAAGAAGAAATCAAGAGTTCAGATGAAATGACATGGCTTTTTGGGTCCAAGAGATTAAGGCCTCTTAACCTATAAAATTTTTGAAAATCCAAGGAAAAGATATTGAAGAATTAATAGACACTAGAGCTGATGCCTCTTGCAAAGCTGGACAAGAATGGCCCTCTACTTTGCAAACACAAATCACCTCTTCTACTTTCATTGGATTAGGACAGGTAACATACTAAAGTGCTTCTCTGAAGCCTCCTGAGTCAGGCCTGCAGCCACAAGATTTCCTTTGTTCTGGCCTGCCAGCTGTTGGGACAAATCTCTCCCACTTGCATCCCCCAAGAAAACATACAGAGGCTTATATTAATTATAACTGCATGGCCATGGCTCAAGCTTTTTGCTAGCTAGCTCTTATATCTTAAATTAGCCCATAACTATTAATCTATGCATTGCCACATGTTCCCTGTCTTTACCTGATTCCCATTACATGTACCTCCTTGGATGGCTCACTGGCATCTCTCCCTGCCTTCTCCCTGTCTCTTTCTTTGAATTTCCTGCCTGCCTCTAAGCTACCTTGCCATAGGCCAAACGGCTTTATTTATCAACCAATCAGAGCAAAACATATTCTCAGTATACAGAAAGACTTTCCCCCATCACAGCTACCTCCCACCCCCACCTCCCCAGTTCAAATCACCCTCAGTACCCATGTCTTCCATGCTGTTACTATTATGGCCCATTAAGCAACACTTAAAGCATTCCACTGATTTTCTAACCCAAAGTCCAAATTCCTCCAAACATTTAACTGGGGCTGATTACTGTTTCAGAAGTATATAGTCCATTATCCTAATGGCAGGAAGCATAGTGGCATGTAGCAAGACATGGTGCTGGAGAAGGAATTGAGAATTCTACATCTTGATCCATAGGCAGCAGGAAGTGAACTGACTTGAGCTTCTGAGATCTCAAAGCCCACCCCCACAGTGACACACTTCCTCCAGCAAGGCCACACCCACTTTAACAAGGCCACATCTCCTAAATAGTGCCATTCCCTATGGGCCAACCATTCCAACATTTGAGTCTATGCGGGCCATTCCTATTTAAACTACTACATTCCAATTCCTGGCCTCCATAGGCTTATAGCCATACCACAATGAAGAAATGCATTCTGTTCAACTTCAAAGTTCCTATTGTTTATCACAGTCTTAACCCTGTTTAAAAGTCTAAAATTCAATGCCTCTTCTGAGATTCATGCAATCTCTTAAGTGTAATCCCTCATAAAATCAAAGTCAAAAAGCAAATCATGTACTTTCAACTTTCAAAATATAATGGCACAGTATGTACATTACCACTTCAAAATGGAGGAAAGGGAGAATAGTGAGGAAATACTGAACCAAAGCAAGACTGAAACCAACTGGACAGACTCCAAAGTCTGCATCTCCATGTCAAAGAGCTTTTCAGATCTCAAACTCCTTTCAGCTTTGTTCACCACAACACACTTTCCCTTTGGCTAGTTCCACTCCCTATTAACAACTTCCTCAGCAGGTATACCATGACTCTGGCATCTCCAACATCTTGGGGTTTCCAAGGCAATCCAGGCTTCACTGTCACAGCTTCTCACAATGCCCTCACTCGGCCTCCATTCATGGACAATCCTGTCACTTGCCTGGTCTCGGCAGTTTTCCCTAGTCGTGGAGGGAGATTCTATAACCCCTTTTTTATATCTTTGACTCTAAAGCCAGAACTATGAGGCCAAAGCTGCCAAGTTCTGCTGCTTGTTGAGGCTGGAGCATGGCCCCCTTGTTCAGTTTCATCTTCACCAGTTTTCTGTTTTTGATGGTTTCCTTCACTGCTTGAGCTTAGCTGTCCTGAAATTTGCTCTGTAGACTAGGCTGGTCTCAAACTCAGACATCCATTTGCTCTGCCTCTGGAGTGCTGTGATTAAGATGTTTACCACCACATCTAGCTCTAAGCTTTTCTTTAATTTTTTCCCACAAGTTGGAAGCTTAGCTGGCTGGGGTCTTGTCCTGAAGTCACCACTCCCTTTATTCCATTTCTTTTTTTTTTGGGGTGTGTGTGCAATTCTTTATTGGAGTATATATTTTCAATTGTGTTTGCAAACACTGAACACAAGGGGGAAACAAACTGTCCTCCTCCACTCTTCCAACTTCTAGGGCAAAACAATCAGAAAAAGGTGTCAGGAGACTTCAGCAGGGTTTAAAGATCACTGCCTCATTCATCCCAGACTAGCCTGGAACTAGGGACCCCCTGCCTCTGCCTCCCGGTGCTGGGACTAGAGGTGTGTACATTTATACTGGTTGAGTCACCTTTATAAGGTGGTAACTGGTTCCCAGGCAGCCTTTGGAGGCTGAATACTAACATGCAAAGACTGCTGGGCTCCAGTCTCACTATTCTCTACTAGACAACTCTACTATTCCTGGGTACATCACCACAACCCCCACCCTCTCCCATACCCACTCCAGCCAACAACCACCTCAGAGAACTCCACAGAG